TGAAGGCTTATTTGTTCTCTTCTCTATGGAAATCCACTGAGATGTCTCTGGAGGCAGGAAAACCTTAACTATTTTCCGTAGTTAACTCTGGGATTTTGTTAGGTTTTACAGTCAGACAAAAAATAAAGTGCATATCCAAATTTACAACTCTTTCAAGCTACACTGTGTCTCTCAGCAGTCACTCCATGTCTGTCTGCTACTTGGTTCTCAGGTCACAGTGCCATGGACAAAAATGTATCACCAAAAATCTTGATATGGGGAGGGTAGATACCTGCTGTGACCCCTGCATTTTCACCAATTTATTCTGTCACACTCAGCCTGCCCTTCTATATGGAGGCTCTTTATTTTGAGATACTTGGGGGTACAAATCTCATTAGCACTATCAGTATATTTCTGCACAGTAAGTCTACCAACATGTAAAGAAAAACAAAGGGAGGAACACTGTTGGAATTTTGGTTGCCAGAATAATTTTTCAGGCTTGCCAATGGGGAGAAGATATGGAAACTTTCAAAATTAATATGAAACTCTGTAGTGTATTTTCTACCAAAAAAAATTCCTTTTGACAGATGTGAGCTTTCAGGCTTGTTTTTCTGTACTCTGCATATTTAAAAATTAATATTAATATGAACACTTAATGCAACTTTGATCTTTCTTAGCAATGCTCCCTATAAAAGGGAGTTAGTCCCAAAGTACCTTATTCACCACATGGCTCAAGGGAATTAGCTTGTTCAGAGCCATCCAGGTGTTAGCTAATACAACACAGAGATGCCTTGACTGTCTTTATGGATCTAACTCAATTATAATTTATTGATACAGATATGAAGTAGGTAATTTGTACTTGATATAGTAATAAGGTAATCTACTTTTTTAAAAAGTCTGAATTTTTTTTTTATATAAAGTAATTAATGGGGTTTTTTGAATACTATTTTGGTATAACAGAAGTTTTCTTAGTTTTAAGGCATTCCAGTCCTTTTCTAAGTTTCTGTTTAAAAAATAATTGAAGTTTCTTTTTTATACCAGCAGATAGATATGCTATATAACTATTCAAGAAAAACAGTCAGAAATATTTAATTAGCTGAAGCTACTGGAGGAATTGGAGGTAAGCAGAATGTAATGACCCAAAGTAGAACTTACTCTCAAAATTATGATTAATTTCTGCAGAGGACAGAGAGAATTTTAGAGGCAATAAATCAATGGAATCTGAACTTTACATCACATTTGAGATATTTTTTCCCAACAAATTAAGAGACCATTTGTTTCGATGAGGATGTGTGCATACAGATGTGTGCACAAAGGAAGAAGAGAAGGGTATTCTTGCCTACTTTAGAATAAAGGGTCAGCATCTAAACAACAGCTGATACAACTCATGATTTTTCCTGGAATATCACTGATTTTTTAAATTAGTGCGATTTTTTTTTCTTAATTATAACAAAAAAATTTTGAAACAAAAAAGCCACATGGAAATATTCCTATGAGTAGTTTTCAAGAAAATGCAATCCTCATCCATCTCACCTTCTACCTACTGAATTTTTCTCTTACAATGACATCAGTTTCTATATTCATCCACACTCTAAAGAACAATATTATTTACTAATTTCTTAAAATATTTATTTTTTTATAAAAGTCAATAAACTCAAGATTCCTCTTTAAATCCTCTCTCATATGTATTATTGACACAAATGAAAAGATATTTGGTTGGACACAATCTGTCTCTCCCAAGATCCCCTACATTTACCCTTTCAGTTGAGTGAAAAACACAGCCTTCCATACTTTCTTAATTTAGGCAACCACATGCCCCAAGTTTTCTGGCAGAAATCATCAGGAATATGCTGTGATTGAAATGGTATTTCAAGCAAAACCTTGTAGGGAGACTTGGGATTTTTGTGAACCAGTTAAACACACGAGAACCTGCAATGGACCTGGTAAATTTGGAGGTGTTTGTGGCTTTTGTTAGACAGCAGGACATCATTAGCTTAAATTTGGTTTGCTGTGCTCATGCATTTTAGGTTGATTGTCAGGAGAACTACATTAATTTAATCAAGCAAAACTGATTATATATATGCATTTAGACACTGGTTTCTGCCAAGGATTTTCAATGCTCTACTCCACACAATAAGAATGACTGCAATCAACATCTTAGGAGTAAACAAACCATAACCCTAAAAATTCCTTTCTTTACCAAGGACTGTGTCATAAATTTTCTATTTTGTGGTAGCGTTTCTTGTTTATACTAATGCAGTATTCAGAATAGACTGAATTTTGCATGTCAGCAAGCCTGCCATTATATTCTTACTGGAGTTTTAATTTTTCAATACAGTAATTAGTACATTTGTATTCTAATTGATAATTTTCACTGTACTCTCATGAGCAGTAAAGTTTCTCACGTTTCAAATATTTCAAAATCACTTGAGCTGTAAGATTTTTTTTGAGGTAGCTAAATTCTACTCAGCTATGTACTGTCTACTGCAGGGCCCTGCAGGCATGTTGTGGTAAAGAGGTTTTGATGTTCAGCTGCTAAATAATTAGAAGGTAAAAGCCAAATGGAAATTTACTTCAATTCAATTACACTTTATACCTATGTATTTATATCTAGAAAGTTGTCAGGTGCTGATTAACCAGGGCTGTTCAGAATTCTTTTGATGAGGCAGTCAGAATATGGGGAAGACCAAAAAAACAAATAGATTATTTTGTGAAGAGAAGTAAAAAGGGGGAGGGGGGGGAAGGAATAAAAATTGCTAACATGATGGGTTTGGACATATATCTTTTGGAATTAATCAGCATTATTGCCAGCATTTTATTTAGATGATGAAAATGAAATAATTCGATCTGTCAACAGTAACAAGATAAAACCATAAAGTATTAAACGTTTTACAACAGGACCATACATGGGCACACTGTATAAGCTTCAGCTTGTTAATAGCCTGGGTTTTTTGTACCTATAATAAAGACAGACATATAATTCATCTCTGATGAAGCTTCAAAATCTCCTTAATCAGTAAAAGCCACCTGGATAAAGCAATTTAGACAGCTGTATAGAACCAACTCATATTGTCAGCATTATTGTTCCCCAGAACTAAGAAAATGGAATATTATAACCAAAAACTACATATAGCCGCAAAGAAATGACACAGTTATCTTAATGATTAGTTTAAATAAAATCAAAAAAGCATAAATGAATAGGCAGCTATTCATATCACTATGGAAGTAGCTGATGGGGGGGGTTTGTCTAAATGTGATGTAAAAGATCACTTTTACACAACTCTTGCCCCACAATGCTACAAGAATACCTTTCATATTTCTTTCATTTGCTGTTGGGGAAAGCCTTGAAGGCTTCAGCAAAGCTCAGAGAAGGAAATGCTAAATATCTTTCCAGTAACTGAACACAAGTAACAAAATTGATGAAGTAGAGCTATGAAAGAAGAGCAAATAGGTATATAGTTAATTCAGGTGAGTTTAGAACTACTTATTACCTACAGCAGAAAATGTCTGGGTTTTTTTTTCCTCCACAGATTTAGGATATAAGTAATTTTCCATTAAAATTAATGAAAATTCTCATCAAATTCAATGAAACAGGATCAATCTTATAATTCTGTCTAACTCTAATGGCAGTTATATCTACAAAACTGGTGTCTAAGGGGACTTAAGGCAAAATGGCAAAATGCTGAGATTATTTAGTGCAGGTGAAAATGACACTGAGATCATAAAACACAAGAATAGAGACTGCTTAGACTAGGGAAAATGAAGACATGGGGGAAAAAAGCTCCAACCTAACTGTTGTTGCAGGTTGTATTGATCAGGATCAGAAAGCAGAAGAACTTTCCAGCACAGAGAGAAGGCAACAAAAAGAGATCTCTAAGTTGAAACTGATGACGTGAGTGATAGGTTAAAATAATCAATCCTGTCTGCCCCTCCATGGATCAATATGACAACAATTCATTGTTACCTATTCATCTTGTGCTTGCTATCCCAAAGATGGCAACCCCAACATAAAGCTTATCTGACTTAAAAATTTCTTCCCCAGAAAGAATCCACGCCTTGCAGTCTGTAATGTCCGTGCCCGTGTGAAATGCCACAACCTCTCCTGGGCACAGGGAGGGTGGGACCCTCTCAGCCTGTGAAGAAACATTCATACACTGCTCTGCAGGCTGTCAGGGCTTCAGCTGCCCTCTCTCTTCTCCAGTGGTCTAACAGATACGTTTTTCCCCACAGTGAGATTACTTCTGATCACCTTAAGTCTGTCTTTCCTTGTCTTTGTACCTTTGAATATTAGTTTTCAGACTTCTGCTTTGCTTCTCTTACCTCCCAAAGTCCCCTCCAATTCATTAGAATTGTTTTGATTCCAAGTGTGCTTCTAAAAGACAGAATTTAGTTTCAATAAAACACTGTATCTTATCTCTTGAACACATTATTGGGGCTCTCACTTCCTCCTGTTTTTTTTTCCTTTTATATTCTGGGGTGTGCACAGTTTCCCCTCTGTGATGCTAATAAGGTATTCATTATGCACCTCCATGCTGAGTCCAGGGATTTAATTTCCTAACTTTTTCCTTTCAGGTGGTTTCTAATTTCTTTCAAATAAAAAAAAAGTTTCCTTCTTGCAGTCTACTTGCTTTTTTACCCCATGGTGTGATACCTCTGAACAACGTTTGAATTGCTGACCTCGCCCTGTCACTCATGTCCTCATAGATGCTCAGAACTACAGAGAGACATACCTGACATTTTTACCTCTGTCATTGTGGTTAACTGACTTAGTAATTCTACAAAAAAAATTACTTTCACAGAGGTGTTAACACTGTTCGTTTTGTGGAGTAGGTGGAGATCCACAGACAGACACAGCCAATACCCATGGCGAAGTCCTGAGGAGCTGTGGAGGGCTCCGGTGCAGTTTCTAACCATAGCTCTTCACACAGCTTTTTTGAGGGCCAGCTCAGCTGCCTAAGAGCATTGTCTGGGCATCTGAAGTACTTTGAAAAATGTTATTTTATTGCTATTCTGTTACTTACCTGCCTTGCACCAGGGCTGGAGAGCTGTATGTGTTGTCTCAAGGGAGCGAGGGACCCTGACAGTGGTGTCCCAGCTGGTGACAGGAAAGCGGCAGCTCTGCAACCCGGAGCTCCTGCTCCCGAGGCAGCGATTCCCTTCTGAGGCATGTTGGCTGTGGGGAGAGATGTCCCCTGAGGAGAGACCAGGGCCAGACACACAGGAAGGAGTTGTTTTAATATACATAATGCTTTCAGAGTTTACCTTTTGGTTTCTCTCTAGTGAATTTTGAGGATCAGCTGCAAAATATATACAATTATCAGCCAGGTTATTGAGACAGGTAGAGGTCATTCTGCTAGGTTGAGGGAAGTAGAGAGTGGGGCTGCTGAGGCTGTAGGTGCAATTAAAGTCAGTGTATAAATGTTTACCTTTCATTTAAAAAACTGTGAGAAAATACTTGATTATATTCCTAAATTTAATTCTCCATGGTTGTTGTAGTTGAAAAGGGAGAGGACATTTTCACGAGGAAGAGGCCAGGAGCACTGTGCAATGGGAAGAAATGTGATCTGTAATGTGACCTCTGTGAAAACCTGTGAAACAGTGTGAAGACATCTGTTTTACGATGGTTAAGTAATACCCAAGCCTACTCATTTTCATTTGTGTCAGAGCTGCCTTGCCATCTGACTGTCATCTGGCTTCCTTTCCAATTTTATTACATTAGGGAAGTGGATGGAGAAAACTCTGAAAACACACAATAAGCAATAAAATAAATAAAAGAAAGCAAACTAGATTTATTAAATCAAGCAACTTATGCAACATAAGGCAGTTACTTATAGTGCTTGCATTTTAAAAAGGTCAAATTAAATTAACCATTATTTTTTACCAGAGTTGCCCACAATTGTCTCAGAAATTTAATCTAAATGGGCCGATATAAAGCATTAATTTGCTCCAACTCCCTCAATCACTTTCTTACTGGACACAAACCAAGTGCAATGAAGGAGGAGACTCATTTTTGGATTATTTGTGTATCTGATAGATTTGCAGTTAGGACTGCTGTTATTATTTTTTAGGCATGATCAGAATTAAATAGGCTGGACAGAAACTGTTCTTTCTTATTGTTTCTTTGGGTGAAGTTACAGAAAGCAAAAGAAAATGGTTTTACTCCTGCATAGTAGAAATGCGTTCATAAAATTTTTAAATGGCTCAACTGAAATGCCTACAAGCTTCACTGCTGCCCACATGAAATGAAAAATTTTTTATATGCTTATACCTCCATGTGCCCAATATATTATTTATATTGGAGAAAGATGAGACAAGAGAGAAAAAGACTGCTGTACTCAGGAAAGCAGATTAAACAGTCTCTTGATAAAAAATAAAACAACAAAAGATCCCTAAGTACATTCAGTACTTTTATTTACCTCTTTCACTATTTTAATTTTAGTTAGCAAAGTAAAAAATTATTTGAATTTGTTACTCCAGAACAAAACAGGAATTCCTCCTCTGTCTATTAGCCACAAATATCATTTAGTCAATGTTTTCTGTGGTATTTTTTCAGAGATATTCAGAAACCTTTGTGACTCCTCTGCTGTGCCCAGGAGAGAGGGAATCACAGCAGCTCCCAGAAAATACTTCCATTACAGAATATCCAACAATTTCAGAAATATCCTAATATTTTACAGGGAACTTTTATCCCTCAAGGCACATAACATCGCATCTGACATCAATCTCTCCAATAGCTAGTGGCATTTGAGGACTAATATCAAGCATCTACAGAATATGTGGAAGATTACAGAGATGTTGGAAGTGATGCAATTGATTCACAATTTAAACCAGAGGGTCTGTGAAGTCACCACCACCTTTTTAGGGCTGTTTCTTGTGCCACAAGACATGCACGTGAAAAATGTAAGCAGTGTCCTGCTCCACTTACTGTGCCCCATCTTGCAAATCTAGGCTAGAGTTAAAATTTCATGTGATTCTATTTCAAACTAAAGTTTGCCTGTGGTGAACTTAAATTCTTGCTAACTATACTGGCAGGAAAGTTGTCACCTTTCACAGCAAAGAAGCCAAAACTGGAACTAGGATAGAGAAAGAAGAATCTTCCTGATTACAAACTCTTTAAGCAGGTTCCTGGAGACTCTGATGACTAGGTCAGCTTGGATGGATGCACAGAGAAGTGCTCTGTTCAGTCGTGAAACAAGGGGTTAGTAAGCTGTCAAAGGTAACAAACAAGTTGTTCCGAGACAAGTAGAATGAATGCCACCTTTCTCTGTGGATTTGTGTCTTTAAGTTCCACACTCTGGAAGTAAAAATGCCATTTAACAGAGTTAATGACATCCGTTCCCCTTCCTATTCACTGTGCTCTTGCTTCAGTAACCATTAGTCCTATTCCCTAGCCAAGAGAGCAGTATCTCCAGTATACCCCATGCTTCTTCCCAGTCCCTTGCCACCTTCCCTTCATACCCTATGCTTCCTTTCCCTAGTTGCAAAGTGATATGAGGTTGCATTGCTGCAGTTTGAAACTAGACACCTATGCTAACTGGCCAAACATGCGTTGAATGGTGAAGCGACAGGCCAACAAGAACAAATATACTACTTGGCTACTTTTTCCTGAGGATAAAACAGTCACGGTCTCTTTCTTCTACAAAGCCACTGATTTTCATGAAACTTGTAGAAATGTAATTATCTTTCAGATCTCCAACCTTTTGCCTGTAGTGCTTAAAACTTGACATTACTTTCTGGGTAATGGGTATGTAAAACTCTGAGCCCGGGGAGCTGCCGGCTCACAGGATTGGCTATGAGTTTTGCTTTAATATATTGATATAGGGTTCTTTAATACCTCGAGATAGCATCAAGAGAATAAGCCACAGCCTTGTTCCCAAGGAATTTTTTTATTAATTTAGGGGAGAAAATAAGGGGACTTGGCCAAAGTTCAAAATGACACCACACAAGCTAGACAAAATATTCCACCACAATACTGATTCAATATATACTATTAATCCACAACAGCTAAGTCAAAATCCAGTAAACTAGCAACACTTAAATGAAGATCCAATACACCAACAACACAATGCAAAATCTAACCAAGTCCACAAGCCTAAATCAAGATTCAATCCCTCCAGCTTCAAACCACCCTAACCCTCAAGAAAGGAGCAGAGAAAGAGAAGTAGAGGGATCAAGAGAGGAGAAAGAGGGAGAGACATATTATATAGCTACCACCGAGGCCTTGTAGAAGACCAGCTCTCACAAGTCATTGGACCATAACAGGGCCATGACACGAGGCAAACACACTCTCTTGGTTTTATCTGCTCTGGTCTCTATGGCCAACCCCTCCATGAGGGGTCTCTGACCCACCAGCCACCCTGGGGGTTCCAGGCCAGGGTGAGGGGCAGTGTCACTCTCCCTGCCAACCTGAGCCTGGCTTAGAGGCTCAAGGAGCTGTGGTGTTATGGTTTTCCTGGGCTGTTCGTGACTGACAGCTAATCCGGGGCTTCCCCATGTGGGCTCCAGGGGCTGCCATGAAGGATGCAATGCCGCCCTAGGTGGAGGTTCAACCCATCCCTTCACCCTCTACACACACACACACACACATTCCCCACAAGTTGGTTCTGATCCAATAATAACTGATCTGGTGTCTAACAGGGTGGGAGGAAGTCCCCTGGCAGAGAGCAAACTTAATTTTTCCTTCAGAAAATAAGATAAAATAGTATCTGAAATGTGTTCATCCTAATAAACTTACCCTTGACCAACTGATCATGTAGGTTTCTGGGATGGGAACAGCATCTATCACAAGACTGAAGTTCTTGAGTGCAGCACATGCTGCATATCTTCCATTCTTGCAGTTGTCTTTACAGAACATGTCTTATTCTTCAAAGATCTCAGAATAATCTATAAAAATAGAGAAGGAAAGAACATTTTAAGGACAATCACACCTGAAATCAGGGTTTGGAAGAAAAAGGAAATAGGAACAGGGCAGAAATAGGCAACTCTGCATTAATCAGCTGGAAATCCTGCTGTTAGGCTTTGACAATTGATTTAATTTAGATTTAAATTTAGCCTGATTAGTTTATTTTTAGTTGCTGCAATTAACATATCTATTAAAACAGATAATTAGACTTACGTTTAAATGTAGTTCCTGGAATCAACAAGAACAAGCACAAAAGAGTTATTCCCATGGGTGTTACACATGTTTGTAAGCCTGAGCCTATACTCCTGAGTGAATCACTGGGAGCCTGACAGTTGATATACCCAGGCACTGACATGTGTATAACAGGAGTTAAGCATGACCCACATTTGGGTTTCAGGTTTTCTGTAGTTGCAAAGTGAATTGCATGATGTGGGCTACCTTACTCTGGGTGTGAGCAGAACCCATCTAGACCATCGCTACCACTTCACCTGCAGGAAGGTGCTGGGCACCACATGCTAAAGTTACTGCCCGTGCACTAGGGCAGGGATACAAAGATGTCAGACCTATTGCAGAAGTATGTCATTCCCACATCACTCCTGCACACCAAATCCAGTACTTTTCACAGTGCCGGTCTTCCTGCACATGACATAGCTGAATTCTTTCCTCTTGGGCGGCTGGACAGACAGCAGCCTGGCCAGACCTAACAAGCAGTCTCCCATCGAGGTCGCTGGCCTTCTCAACAGATGTAGGAAGGGCTCAGAATACACATTGATAAAATTTCCACGTGCAACATGTTCAATAATATCTAGATGTGGGAGTTTCAAGCACCAAACAATGTGAAAAGTTTAGCCCTGCGGCCTCTGGTGAAAGGAGAAAAGAGGAGATCTGGTGGGAATACCCAGATTCTCCCTGTTTCCAGTATTCTTTAGCCTCACAAGGCATAGGTAATGAAATACAGAGAAATTAGTCTGAGTATTTATCAGCTAGGCAAATTGCAGGCAGGAACATTAGCACAGACACTAGGTATTTAATGTATTTTCTTGCTAATCTTAATTTTTCTGACACACTCTACCAATGCATATCATTCTAAGAGAGATTCAGAATACAAACCAGGTAGAAGTTCATGGTCCACACTGATCTTTTGTCCTAGGTCAAGTCCAAATGCTTCTCTCACATGGACAAGCATCTAAG